TATTTTGTAGCCTACCATTATAAATGTCTTTACTGTCACTTTTAATCAATTTAATGTGTTCATGCTGAATAAAAGCATATATTTCTTCCTGACCCCAAACTTTTGAATGGTATATAGTGTACATAATTTATTTATTTATTTTACACTTTTGTCGTGATATTTCTTTTAGCATTACATTACTCTAATGACCTGCATCTAACATAGAAGATACGTTTTTGACATGAGCTGTTCTGCATCATGGTCATCAGAATGATGTCACACCCCTCACAGACCCTTTGTTTCTGTTTTTCCCAGCTAACGGTGTCTTTTCAAACGCGTGACATCATTCAGAAGCTCCTCAAAGGCCAGTGTTTCCCAAATCATGTCTTGCCTCAGGACAGCATCACTACTGCAGTATCCATTTCCACCAACACTGGATCTGTGCTAGAAAGACTAGTGTAATTTCACCCGCGGAGGATTATTCTTTTGTCGGAGGCCATTCGCTGAATGTGAAAGACGCTCACCTTTGATGTGTCGCTGGTGATATTCACATCACGCCATTCATGAAACTCTAACAGTAGCCGCTCTGTTTCTCACTCGGACGTATCCGCGATGTTCAGGATGTCATGCACTACATGCGTGTTGATCAAATATGTTCAAAATATGTCAAAATGTAAAATCTTACAGCAGTAAAAGAAAAGCCCAAGCTTTTATCAACCATTAAAAAAATCCAAAAATGTACATGGTTGAAAATGCTTTGGGCAAAAAGTACACTGTAAAAAATATTTTAGCAATTTAGTTATTTCAACTTATTTTTTTGTGTAGAGATAACTAGATTGTCCAGACAACAAGAAATTTTAAGTTTTCTTGTCCTCAACTTATCGAAATAAGTTAGTTAAACTAAAAAAAAAACCATGCAAAAAGATAACACAAAATAATGAGTTAAGTTCTTTTACAGTGTAGTTACAAAAGATTTCTATTTCAAATAAATCCCATTACTTTGAACTTTCTATTCATCAAAGAATTTTCTCTTTGTTACGGTTTCTGCAGAAATATTAAGCAGCACAACTGTTTTCAACATTGATACTAACAAGAAAGGTTTTGAGTTTGAATGATTTCTGAAGGATCATGTGACACTGAAGACTGGAGTAATAATGCTGAAAATTCAGCTTTTCATCACAGGAATAAATGCAAAAAATATTCAAATAGAAAACTTATTTTAAATTGTTTTTACTGTATTTGTGGTCAAATCAATGCGGCCTTGATGAGCATAAGAGTCTTCTTTAAAAACGTTAAAAGTATTTCACCCCAAACTTTTGAAAAGTATTGTTTCCTGCTTCTCAAATAGTTCAACAGTGAATCAGATTTGCTCAAGATACTAAACCTGCAATCAAAAGTCAGAGATCTCAATATGAATTCTCATCAAATTCAGCTGAGGGCTAAAGAGGGCACAACTCTGTACTCTTACTGTGTGTCAACAATTGTTTCATTTGTGTCTATTTTTACTTCTAGGATAAACATCTGAGATGAAGTCGATATCTTCGAGCAGTAACATTGTCCTCTGGGATTACATGTTGATCACTGTCACATTTGTTTTGCTCGTTCTCACCATTAAGAAACTTTAACCGAATGTGATGTTTCAGTCTCTCATGAGGCTCTTTAGGGCTAGTTAAAGTTGAGAGCAGTTAAGTGAGAACATGTGTATTACTGCTGCTGTTTCCAACACATGTACACACACACACACACACACACAGAGTAACATGTGTCACCCCTATAGACATAAGAGCAAGCAGCTGTGCTGTACACCGCTTAAATTAGCTACTCTCTTATGAATAAATGAGTTGTTAAATTTAAAAGGACAGCACATAGCTTTTGAGAGATACATGTATGCTTTTAGTTAAACACTAAAATGTTTTTTTTTAAGGCACACTTGCTTATAAAAACACATAAAACTAGAGCTTACTCATGCAAAACACGCTGCCACAATGCTGAGGTGTTACATGTGCTTGATAGTGCACTGCTGATGTACTGAGTAATTGCTAGGATGATCTGAGTGGTTGTTAGTGGGTTGCTAGGATGTTCTGAGTGATTGTTCGGGGGTTGCTAGGATGTTCTGAGTGGTTGCTATGTTCTGAGTGATTGTTAGGGGGGTGCTAGGATGTTCTGAGTGTTTGCTTGGTGGCTGCTATGTGCTGAGTGATTGTTAGGTGGTTGCTATGTTCTGAGTGATTGTTAGGGGGTTTCTAGGATGTTCTGAGTGATTGATAGGTGGTTGCTATGTTCTGAGTGATTGTTAGGGGGTTGCTATGATGTTCTGGGTTGCTATGTTCTGAGTGATTGTTATGTGATTGCTAGAATGTTCCGAGTGGTTGCTAGGTGGTTGCTATGTTCTGAGTGATTGTTAGGGGGTTGCTAGGATGTTCTGAGTGATTGCTAGGTGGTTGCTATATTCTGAGTGATTGTTAGGGGGTTGCTATGATGTTCTAAGTCGTTGCTATAGGTGGTTGCTATGTTCTGAGTGTTTGTTAGGTGATTGCTAGAATGTTCTGAGTGGTTGCTAGGAGGTTGGATGTTCTGAGTGATTGTTAGGGGGTTGCTAGGATGTTCTAAGTGGTTGTTAGGATGTTCTAAGTGGGTAGACAAGTGGTTACAATAGCATTTTGAACGGTTGCTAGGTGTTTACTAGGATGTTAAGAGTGGTATCTGGGTAGTTGTAATTTGTTTTCTGAGTGGTTGCTAGGGTGTTCTGGGTGGTTGTCAATATAGCTTGAGTCCTTCCTTCAGTGTAAGTCTGTTTTTTCCAAATTTTGAATTTTATCACCCAGCAAGAGAAAATAGTCTGATCACCTGATGATTGCTGATGTTTCAATTCACAGCTTGGTGTGGATTTGTGTATTCTGGTTGAGTGTTTTGTGTCTGTTGTTTTATCACAGATGAGGCTATCAGAAGGAAACTGACACGCACACACACACACACACAGAGATCTGACAGACATTTCCTCTCAACGCCTGATCACCTCTGAGGGCTTGATTACATGTTTACACAGTCAGATGTCACAGTGATGTCTGATGCTACACAAACACACATTGCCCTCTAACAGGGACAACTCAAACACCCGGTACATTTCCATACTGATCTCTAATGACCTAAAAACATTACAATTAAAGAGTGCAGTTTCTTAAAAGTGTTTTTTTTACAGAAGAAGCTAAGGAGGTTGTCAAAATATGTTCTTCATATCAACCTTTTATTGCTCAAGAGACTCCTGTATGTTTCATTTAAAGGGATAGTTCACTCCAAAATTTTAATTCTGTCATTACTCACCCTCATGTCGTTCCAAACCCGTAAGACTTTCGTTCATCTTCGGAACACAAATGATGAAATCTGAGAGCTTTCTGTCCCTCCATTGCTATACACAACTGACACTTTGACGCTTCAAAACGTTTATAAAGAGATTGTTAAACTAATAGTCAAATAGACTGTAAAATGAATGTGGAGCAGCTCATGGAAGAATTTGATGAGAAATATTTAAGATCTCAGACTTTTGATGGCAGTCTGTGGTATCTTGTACACTTTGAGACATTGTGGAGATCTCTTCTGAAACTCACAGGAGAAACAAATGAGACCTTAAAAAGAAAGTTTGATTAGAATCACCAGACAAAAACAACCACACGCTTCTGAACCGAGATGCCCAGCGTCTTTGAAGGAAGGGATGTCAGTGTGAGACACCACACACACACACACACACACACACACACACAGAGGAAACAGGAAGACCCTTATCTGCACATGGGCTCCATGAGCAATGGCTAATTAACTTGTTCTTTGTAAAACACCAAAAACATATTTTGCATTTCACTGATGGGCTCATTATACATGAAACGAACCAAAAACTATCTAATCACAGACACTTGAGTCTATTATGGACATATAGCCGCATTGAAAGCACAAGCGTAACCCTTAATCACATTATAAGGGATGTGTTTCCTCTGCTGCGTCAGGGGAAACATTTACGGCAATATGTGGGTTAATTGCTCTCAGATTTCTGGGTGTCAGCAGGACACAATTACGCATTTAAAAGTTTATTACAGCCAATAGCACCATTCTTTAATGGCCCATTTATTGTGTTTGTTTTATTAGAGCAGCTAATTTCATTTATGGGGTTTAAATATTAGTATTATTATTCTTGTGTGGTTCATTAAGATAGAACAGCCATTACCCCTGATTTCACATCAGGTGTTTTGCTTATGTCTACAAATTTGCTAACAATTACATAAAAAAAGTAATTAACAAAATATTGCAGCATAATAATTCAACATTCACCTAGAACTGTCCTAAAACTTTTGATTCATATGTGAATGCACATGCGGTAATCTAAAAACGATTTAATTTAATGATAAAAGTATTTATAACGTGTTATAATATTCTTATTCATAAACTGATTATAAATAAATCTGGATTTTAAAATTAATTTCATGTCACATTCAATATTTTTGCCCAATGACATAATCCAGAAACACTTCATAATAACTTCCTTAAATAAATAGAACTAACATTATTGAATATATATATATATATATATATATATACACACACACATTCAACTTTATTTATATTCATATTTTTTAAATAGCCTATCAACTAGCCTGATCTGAACGGCTGTATATTAGGCAATTAATTAAGTTATTCTAAATGGGTTTAAAACTATACCGAATTAATTTAATTCTTATTATAATTATTCACATTATAATAGAATTGTTATTGCTAAATAATAATTCAGTTTATAACTTCCATAGGATAGTAGCCTATAGCCTAGATGTAGCCAATTCAAACATTTTAAATGTATTTTAAAACTATAAACTATGCCTTTAAACTTGAATAATAGCTATATTCTCTTAACAGACTAGTTGAAGTACAAATTCTAATGTTCACAGAGACGTTATTAAATTTCACATCACGATATTTTTGTTCGGCCATTAGCGACGTGATCCTGAATAAACCGCGCGTATTCTGAGGTAACTCACTGTAGGGATCGTCTTTTCTCTTGGTGCCGTTGACTCTCCCGTCTTTCCCGATCCTAAGGAAGAACTTCTGGAAGGAGAAGAGTTTCCTCTGGCGCACGTCTCCCTGGAGGTGCACGTAACTGCGCACATGCCGGCCTGAGGTGGAGGTGGATGAGGATGAAGAAGAAGATGAAGAGTTGTCGACCCTGAGCGCCTTCTGCACGGGACATGCGCGGCCACAGCTGACGGAGACCACGAGAAGATACACGACACACACCGACCAGCATGCAGACACACTCTTACTCACTGTCCATCTCCTCATGGTACTCCTCCTGGAACATGCTGCTCAGTGAACGTGCATGGATGCCTCTCGCTCCAGAGAACTCCACAGAAGACCACTGAAGAAACCATGAAGTTGTGGAATTAGGCTGAGCTGCAAGTCTGTGAAGCTTCTGATGGTGAGATAGAGCAGTTTAGTAATCCCATTTGGGAACCATTATCATTGCAAAACTCATCCTCAAAACGACCCTGTTCCTGGCATCCTGTCTCCTGATGTGATCTCCTACCTCCAGGATGGTCTTAGAAATGCTGCTGTCTCTCTCTCTCTCGGTTCCTCACCCTCCCTACCCCTGTCTGTCATTCTACGTCCCTGCCTCCATTCTCACACTCTGCCCCTCCTTGCTGAATTCCCAAAGTGCAGGGTTTGTCTGATAGGGCTTTTGTGAATGGCTGTTATCTGGAGCTCTTTGATAGTGGACTAGGAAAAGAGGACAGACGCTTGAAAAGATGAACAAACCTAACCAGAGGCCACTCTTGATTGGTCCCATCTGACGATAAGAAGCTCTTGGTTTGATAAAGTTTGGGAATCATCATGTTTTGTTTTTTTCCTTTCGTCGTGGATCATGTCCCTTTCACCTCGTATATGATATCCCGAGGCATCTGAACAGTCAAGACATTGGTTTTGTCTGTTACACATTACATGTCATTATTATTCTGCGGAACAGGTTTATGAATTTATTACTTTATCAGAGCCACAGGCATTGAATTAAGAAAAGCAAGCGATATAGTTCAAAAAGTCAAAAACGTTAAAAAAGTTCTAAATGGTCATCAAAACAAAACATTTAAATTACAGAAAGATTCTAAAAGCTTCTTTTGCTGTTTAAAGATAAGTAAAATAATCAGACACAATGTACTGTGTTAATGAAGGAATTTTATGTGTGCATTTTTCACAGGTGTTTTACCTGTATTTTCCCCCAAACCCTAACCCTACCCATAAGTTATCCCGCATTCTCATCCTTTGGCGTCATATAGGTGACGCCATATGACATTTCGTCGAAATCTTACGCACATGGCATCCTTTAGCGTAAATATAACACGCACTGTTATGGGTAGGTTTTGGTCTGGGGTAGGGTACGGTTATGACGCCTTGGGATCTGCGTCTCATATTCACGCTAAACGATGCCATGTGCGTTGGATTTAGACGCGCGTCACCTAAAGGATGCCATGTGCGTAAGATTTCAACGAAATGTCCAAAGCGTCACATGTATGACGCCAAAGGATGAGAACGGGCTGGTTATCCCTAAAATCAGAGGGAAATGATAGTGAATAACACTGATGTAGAAGCACCTAACCTTGGTTGTAAGCATAAATGACATAAACTCTAAACTTTTCCCTCAAATCTGATTGGTTGATTGGAACGTTGATCCAGGAACATGTTGTACTTGTACAGTTCACTCAAAAAGAAACCACACTTGCTCCAAACCACTTTCATTCTTCAGTTGAACGAAAAACAAAATGTTTTGAATAATAATTACGCTGCTCTTGTCCACATAGTGACGGTTCATAGTGAGCGTGCTTAAAAACAACAACATAAAAACAGCATAAACTTGACATATAACACTCATAGATTTAAGAGCTTCAGCAGAGAAAAACATTTACTGTAAATGTTGGTCTGTTTCATACACAAAAGCCATTATATGACTTTAAACGAAAAGTAAATAATGGCAATCGTTTTCAACAGTGTTGGTGGGAACACATTACAAGTAAAGCGAGTTACGTAATCCGATTACTTTTTCAAGTAATGCATTATTTTTAAATGTACAAACAAAAATATCTGAGCAGATTCACTATTTGTTACGATGGTGGTTGAAGCACGGAGAAAGCAGGATCCACATGCAGTACACTTTATTAAATAAACTGAAAACTTCACAAAGACTCAGACTCAGAACAGGAACAGGGCATCCAACATTAACAGTAACAATACAAGAACTCACAAAGACTGGACTGAAACACAGGGCTTAAATACTAGGGCAAACGAGCTGAACAAGATAACAAGGGGGCGTGGTTAACCGGGGACACCTGGGAAGACTAATAGACATAATGGGGAACTGCTAAAACAAGAAATGACAGGGGAACACAGACTGACATTACAACATAGCCCCCCCCCCTCAATGGGCGGCTCCCGACGCCCATCAAAACAAAAACAAAAAACAGACATTTCAGGAGGGTGGTGGAGCGGAGGCGGTCCTGGGGGAGGGATGGAGGGCCAGGTCCGCACGGGGAACAGGACCAGGGCCTTGCAATGGTGGGCCAGGAACGTGGGCGGACCTGGGCCATGGGACGTGGAAGGAGCTGGCTGCGCAGGCGACCAGGGCGGAGCAGGCTGCGCAGGCGACCAGGGTGGACTAGGTAGTTCGGGCGGCCACGGCGGCGAAGACCCTTCCGGCGGCCACGGCGGCCACGGCGGCGAAGACCCCTCGGGCGGCCACGGCGGCGAAGACCCCTCGGGCGGCCACGGCGGCGAAGACCCCTCGGGCGGCCACGGCGGCGAAGACCCCTCGGGCGGCCACGGCGGCGAAGACCCCTCGGGCGGCCACGGCGGCGAAGACCCCTCGGGCGGCCACGGCGGCGAAGACCCCTCGGGCGGCCAAGGCGGCGAAGACCCTTCGGGCGGCCACGGCGGTGAAGACCCTTTGGGTGGCCATGGCGGTGAAGACCCCTCGGGCGGCCACGGCGGCGAAGACCCCTCGGGCGGCCACGGCGGCGAAGACCCCTCGGGCGGCCACGGCGGCGAAGACCCTTCGGGCGGCCACGGCAGTGAAGACCCTTCGGGTGGCCATGGCGGTGAAGACCCCTCGGGCGGCCACGGTGGTGAAGACCCTTCGGGCGGCCACGGCGGTGAAGACCCTTCGGGCGGCCATGGTGGAGAGGACCCTGCGGCCGGCCATGGCGGAGAAGACCGTTCGGGCGGCCATGGCGGTGCGGCCTTCACAGTCCCATCCAGGGTCCTACTGCCCCCCCCCAAAATTTTCTTAGGGGCAGCCATGGGGTCATCTGCAGGAACAGACACCGGCGCAGGATCAGCGGGCTCTGGCGCAGGATCAGCGGGCTCTAGCCCAGGATCAGCGGGCTCTGGCGCAGGATCAGCGGGCTCTGGCGCAGGATCAGCGGGCTCTGGCGCAGGATCAGCGGACACCGGCTCAAGTGTGTGCATAGCCCACACACACCACATGGCTGTGGCCATAATGGCCAGTGTTGCGGTCACTGAGGGCTCAGGCGGCGCATGCGTGGCGTGATCAGTCTCTGGCTGGGCAGACGTGACGTGAACGGTCTCTGGCTGGGCAGACGTGACGTGAACGGTCTCTGGCTGAGCAGACGTGACGTGAACGGTCTCTGGCTGGGCAGAAGTGGGCTGGACGGTCTCTGGCTGGACGGTCTCTGGCTGGACGGTCTCTGGCTGGACGTGGCTGACGTGAAGCTCTGGCTGGACGGTCTCTGGCTGGACGTGGCTGACATGAAGCTCTGGCTGGACATGGCTGACGTGAAGCTCTGGCAGGACGTGGCTGACGTGAAGCTCTGGCTGGACGTGGCTGACGTGAAGCTCTGGCTGGACGTGGCTGACGTGAAGCTCTGGCTGGACGTGGCTGACGTGAAGCTCTGGCTGGACGTGGCTGACGTGAAGCTCTGGCTCAGCAGGCGGGACGGTCTGGACGAAACGAGTCCCAAGCAGGTTAGCCTTTTTGGCAACCCGTGCTGACCTCAGCGGGGGATCGGCCACGCTGGACACCAGACGGCTATAGATCGATCTGGTGGGAGGCTTGATAATGGGAGTGACGTAAAGACCAGACTGAAGGGATACTACTGGTTGATGGAGTTTCTTCTCCATGTCCACAGCAAACGACGAATCGCTCAGGAAAAGTGCCAGGTCGATATACCGTTCTAGCGTCCAGTCGGTATAGTCATCTGGCATCATAAGAGCGATGCCCTCGTCTAGTCCGCTCCGGAACAGCTCTATAAGCTGGACGTCGTCTAGGGACGCTAAATGGCAGCAAGCCCAGAAGTCCTTCACATACCTTACTATGGGCTGGCCATCTTGTGACATTGACAACAGGTATCTCCTTAGGGCCTGGTTGTTTGTGACTACTGGATCCATAGTTTCGGTGAGTTCTTCTGTTACGATGGTGGTTGAAGCACGGAGAAAGCAGGATCCACATGCAGTACACTTTATTAAATAAACTGAAAACTTCACAAAGACTCAGACTCAGAACAGGAACAGGGCATCCAACATTAACAGTAACAATACAAGAACTCACAAAGACTGGACTGAAACACAGGGCTTAAATACTAGGGCAAACGAGCTGAACAAGATAACAAGGGGGCGTGGTTAACCGGGGACACCTGGGAAGACTAATAGACATAATGGGGAACTGCTAAAACAAGAAATGACAGGGGAACACAGACTGACATTACAACACTATTCCTCAAAATGAATAAAAACAGTGAAATGCAAACTCAGAATATTACACAAACCTGCAATAATTAAATGTTGAATAATACAAATATGTATTTAATCTCACTTTATTATCCAATGAAACCATACCAATAAGCAAAAAATCACATTTGTTTCATTTAAATTTTTTTTTTTTTATTGTATAGTGTTGAACTTTCTTCTCCTGCGTCCAGAATGGCAGCGCAGCTGAAAGCTTTGTTTGAGCTCTTTACTGTACAGCCATGAATTTGCATTTCCTTTATCATTTGTCCTTTTGGTGTGAAAGAGCCTTTACATTTGCCAAAATATAACTTTTTGGTTATTAAAAAACAAACAAGAAAGCCCAGCCCAGGTGAGAAAAAATGACACAAAAGTAACGCAACACATTACTTTCCATTAAAAGTAACTAAGTAACACAATTAGTTACTTTTTAGGGAGTAACACAATATTGGAACACACTTTTAAAAGTAACTTTCCCCAACAAACCAAGTCATATGAACAACATTTATGCTGTTTTTATAGTGTCTTGTACGGAAGCGTATTGCATTCACTTGAGGAAAAAAATCTACTCTGTTTTTCTGAATTAACGAGTTAATTATCTCAGAATTACGAGACCATTTTTCATGGAAAAAAGTTTTTGCTCTGTTTTTCTGAATTAACGAGTTAATATCTCAGAATTATGAGATATTTTTTCATGAAAAAAAAAAGGTTTTGCTGTTTTTCTAAATTAACGAGTTAATATCTC